GATAATGAGGAAGAAATAATTATAGAAGGTGATATTGAACAATTTATAAAACAAAAGATGATGATATTTTATTAAAACATTCAAACAAAAAGAACATTTATGTTTATTTCTGTTTTCTATGTTTTATCGTATTCTTTATTCAATTGTTCGAATAGAGTTCGGAGTTGGGTTAATGACCAGTACAGAAAAAGAATGATAATATTCACACTTTTCACCTATTGTCAAGTGTGCCATAAATGAATACTCATTTTTCTTTAAAAAAATAATCACATTTCCCATGGGATTAGGAACTCATCCCATCCCATTAGGAGTCCTGGTCTATAGGGCAGGACAAGGGTACGAAGTTTTACGTTAGGGCAGGTTAGGGTACAAAAAAGGCTTAATCTGCAGGACTCTACCCATAAGACCCGCGTGGTCCAACCCGTGGATCGCACACCTCTGGTTCCCTCTACTTATTCACTATAGACTAGAATCGACGTATCATTACAAAATCTTAGGAACTGTAAGCGAATATGATACGTATTGATCACCTATTTTTCTATATCCATTCTCTAATAATCATCACATTACCGTCAATAATTGTCTCAGGCGTAAAAATTTACTGATAACAGTTTTTTATGTCAGCGACATGATAAGTTTCAGAATCCTTTTGAAAAACGTCTTTCTCCTCTTCACACAACATGTTGGAATAGGAATAATCGGCAATCTATCAAAACATTGTAACAATGAGTCATATGATGTTTTCTTTAAATTTCTGTACTCTTTTCGTAGAAAATCAACAAGGCATCTAATCTTGACTCGAGTAGCTCTTAAAGATCCATAATTATGATTGAAAAAACGTAAAAAATATTTAAATCGTTTTTTGTTCTAGATTTAACTTTTTAAAATGGCTTATAGCAATTCTAACGAAAAACATTCGGCTACACGATTTGCTGATTTGGGTGCATTACCAAAACGCATGCTAGCACCAATCGAAGGCTATGAAAAAACACCATTAGTGACACTTGAAGAAGCTGTAAAACCTCTCGTCAAGATAGTACCAAAAGTCGAACGAAATGTATTCATAGTTAAACAGAATTGTCAAGAACCAGAAGATGGTTTAACAACTGATGAGTCAGCTGCCATTATGCTCTATACCTATGA